GGAGAAAGAATGGAAGAAGGTACTAGAGGAACTCAACGAGGATACATGTATGTGGTATGGTATCCAAAATACTGGGAAAGCTAAGGGTGGAATCTACTGGGAACACGAACTGGGAAGAACTAATGGAAGAAGCCAGAAGACTATCAGAACGAGAGAGAAAGAGAAAACAAGGTATTGAGAGCAACAAAGAAATATCAAAATTTACAAGGCAGCAGCTGAAAGAGATGGGTAGTAAACTGGAAGTAGGAAAGGCACCAGACTCTGACGATATAGAGAAATGTCTTTAGCCATCCGCCAAGATATTTACTACGATATTGCAGGGGAGACGTATACCGTCCGGGCTAAAGCAGAAGAGACGTAGATCGTCCGGACTGAACGAGGTGAGATTGGAGCTTTTGCGCAAGCAAGCAATGCCTGGGGATATATCGACAAGGTACAAGCCTTTGTGTATGCTAAATACTGAATGCTACAATGATAGTAAAGAACATAACAGTGTTGGCGGATAGACTGAGTTCGAGGAACAGCCTTCAACAGCGCGCGGTGATCAGGAATAATATAATAAAAGGGGGATGCCCAAGTACGTAATGAGAATCATGGACAGTTACCTTGAACATAAGAAGTTACATATACGGAATAGAGAGATCTAGTGGAGTTCAACAGGGTTAAGTCCTCGGACCAACCCTGTGAAACTCAGGTCCTCACCGAGTCCACGTAGCCTACTCGGACAATATGGCGATAGTGACGGGGGTGAGGGCAGCGAACGAAGCGGTGCGCATGAAGGGAAGTTGTTTGGAAGAAGTGGGTCTGGAGCTGGCGCGAGAAAATAGGTACGAAAACTGTAGTGTTGAGGGGAGACGGAAGCTCAAAGAAGTAATAATACAGATAAAACGTCAGAAGTAGAGAGTATAGCAAGTAATTAGGAGTATACCTTGATAGAAACCTTACAATGAAGAAACTGTGACGATGCAGAACCATGAAATTGAAGAATTAAGTCTTCGACTGTGAGCAGATGAGCGGTGGAAGAGAAGTTTGTAAGAACGGGAAAAAGTGAGAAAGCGTCGTCGCTGTCCCAAGAAACGAAAAGATACTGTCCAACGAGGAGCCACCACTAGGGAGGCCGGAAGACACCCTTGACTAAATCCGATTATTGTGATTTTTCGTTGCCTGTATTTTTGTTAACCGATAAATTCCTATTTTAGCCGTGTAGCTGGCGGTAGGTAATAAATACCGTTTCTTTTAAATACTGACTGGAGTATTATTTATTTTTATCACGGCCGCTCACGAGACCCTCTGGAGAACCGTTACTATGGCTTCGAGTATCTAGAGGTGTTCCCTCTCCGAAAAAAGAGCTGGCACCAGAGTAAACCGGCCCCATCGAAGGCGTTATCCCTGTGACGTGAAGGCGACCAGATCGCCGGCCAGGCAGTCTTAAGCGACAGTAGTCGGTTCAGGGACTTGGTGCTGACGTACGTTACAAATCGAATTTTTTTTTTTTTTCGAATCGTCACCATTACAGGCCGACCAACGGGTTTCGTCGCAAAAGTTACCGGAAAAGTAGAACGAACAGCATTGGACCTGTGTAGGCTAATGCCGAATATCGGAGGCCCGCGAAGTAGCAGAAGAATGTTACCGATAGACTTATTAGTAGGGAGGACAGTACAACGATATCAAAGAAAAGAAGATGATGACGACCAAATGCTAGATTAATGCCAAACAGATAGATTAAGGAGTAGTGTAAGTCGAAATGAATCGGCTGCAGTGAGGTTACATCGTGAAAATTACATTATTGAAGTTTTTGACCAAATTTCTTCAAACTACAACTGCTGGGACACATAAATTTTACCACAAATACCATTTCTAGCGAAAATTTGGAGGTCTTCTGGGTTTTGTGTGTACGAAAAGCGAGAAATTTTAGGTTTATTGTATATGTATGTACTTCGTAACATTTACAAGTCAAGACCAGATTGATGACTTTTTCAATTGAACACCTTTTTTTAGCATTTGAGTAAAGTCTACCGTCACGTATTTTTAAAAATCAAAATCTTAATTATTATTTATGGAAATTTCACAACACGGTTTTCACCACTTTTTCCAGGTTACAAAACTCTATAAGTTACCTGGGAAGTGTAAGCCTTAGCTTAGTTCCTTAGACATATAATAGTAATCGAGTCCATCGGGAGAATTGCCACTTTCATATTTTCTCAACGTGTCATAACTTCTAGAGTACGAAAAAAATGGGTTTCCGTTTCCATCCGTCTGTCTGGCATCTGTATCCGTTTTTGTTAGACACATAATCTCTGAAACTACCGGACTGATTTTCAAATTTTTTTGTCATTAAAGGGAAGTTTGTATGCAAAATGCTAATTTCTTAATAAGACGAAAACCATTATAACAAGTTCTACGTACTCTTTTTAAATACACATTAAAAAGACTAAAACAAAGTAGTAAAAATAAATTTACCTTTAAAATGCGGATGCTGTTTTGACAATTATTTGATGTCTCGGAAGAACTCAGCAAATTTTATTGCCTTTGGGTTTTTTGCATGACAGAATAGTTCAAAATGTGTATTCTCATCATAAAGGAAATTTTCATTCCTACCGTTGGATTTTCTTCCAAAATGTATGTAATGGGAGTTGCTAGGAACTACATATTTGTGTAAGTTAATGCTAAACAGCATTAGCGTATTTTTGTGCACATAAATAAAAATTGCGAACAATGGTATTGAAAATATACCTATTTATTGTTTAAAGAAGAAACGGTTATATTTATAATATTGATATTTTTAGTTTGAATACTTATTGTATAGTCTAACGGCGTGCATATTACCTTATGTTTCATCTTCTATGCTTGTTTATTTGCAAGTTGATTGTTTCTACGTATATCCACATTTTAATGTTTCGAAGACAGAAAAACTCTCACATTTTTACTATTTAATTTTTAATTCCCGAAATTATTCATACAGCGATTAATGACAATTCTTGAAATTCTTAAATTTTAAATCAGTTTTTCTTAAATATGTGATAAATGTTTACTAGTCGAATTTGGCCTTTCTTTTAATCCAGCATAGATTTACCATAGATTTGCAATGAGGTTGTTTTTACATTTTTTGTGTCTTCAGCAAATTCCTTATCGGCGTCAAATCAATATTAAATTGAAAAATTATTTAACATTATTTTAATATTAAAAAAAATTATATCCCGTTTCATAACCCAGATGTGTATGTTTTCATTAATATTGTCACTTTCAGTTTACAGAACAGGTCAGGATTTGATTCAGTTTTAAGATTTACAAAAGAATACTTTAATGCATCTAAAAAAACATGTGCAAACATAAATGAACAATAGAAACCAATGACAAAGCAAAACTTTTGTTTTGAATATAATAGACACTAATTGGTGCATAAGCTAAACAAGATGACGACATAGTAGCAACCATGAATTACAAAAGATTAGAACAAGTGAAATAAGCATTGAAACTAGACAGCAGTTTAACAAAAATGTCAGTGGTTTATTGTTACACTATTGTGTACCTATTTAAAAATATTAATCTGTTTTAACTCAAATACCAGCTTTGACTTGGCTGTGTCATTCGATGAGTATGCATTAAAATAGAACAACGTCGGGAACAATCAAAAATAATTTCCATGCTATAACTAAATTAAAAATAACTTAATCACTATTTTAAACTAAACTCGAGTAATGATAAACGACTTAACATTTTATCCCAACTTCTACAAACACGTTTGCTTTGATAACGCGCTACGCATTGGGGTCTTATCAAGCAACGTGGCTTCAAAAACTGCAATAAACTTATTTCGCATTGATCACTGTGCTTGAGTTCTTGTGGAAATTGTTGGCTGGAAGATTTTTGTATTTAGATTATGCTCTTCTTTTACTGCACGAATTTTAAACAAGTACGTAAAAGTGTATCCACTGGTCTGTTAAAAACATTATTGCGTAACTTTGAAACAAAAGGTCTGACAATAATTTCGGGTTATAAATCTAGTTCTATTAGATGTGTGAAAACACTTTTCAATAGTCGCCAGGAAATGAGTAATCTTTCACCTTGGGACATCCTGTATAGAAAACAAAATATTATAAAATTGCAGTGGTGTTATTAAGTATGATCATCTCGGGTTTTGAAATTCATAAAGGAAGAACTCTAGCTATAGTTTTTGTAGTTACGCTGGGGTAAAGCCTATAAAATTATATATTATTACATGTTCGTACGAAAAAAGAAGAGATGAAATTATATAACATACATGATCAATTTTATATGAATTACAGTAGTGGCCAGCAATAAAATATCCAATAATAAAAAAGTGTCAAAACAGTAACAATAAGGCTATTAATTTTTCAATTTTGACTATCTAAAAGAAGGTAGGAATTCTTGCAGAAACTGTACTATCTTATTTTTAACGTGACCATTATTATTAATTTACCTTCGAAATATGGTTTTGAATTTATTTGACTCCCCTTGTTCGCACACACACACTGTATATGTATTAAGAAAAACTATTTAAAGTTGCTTTATTTTATTTTATTCTTATCTTGTTATATGAGAACATTCTGTCAACAATCAAATTGTTAAAAATAAGTCGCTGAAGTTGTAGGAGGTCATGAAAAAGCCTACACAATCGAACACCAACAGTAACCAATTCTTTTTGCTTTGAAGCTAACAACCTCATCTACCTGCAATAAACGTATCAAAAAAGCTGAATGTCTATTTTAATACATGCTTGACCAAACCCGAACTATCAAATGGTGTTTAAGAATAAATTAATTTGCAATTGTTAAACGTACACTGACCACATTTTTAAAACAAAATTTTGAGTGAACCGCGAATTGGCTAATAAATGCAAAAACTAACCGATTTCTTGTAACAACAAGAAGAAAAGTTGCCCATCCGTGACTTACTATCTCCGATTAACTAGAAAAAAACACTTGTGTAAACAAACAGAAGAACCATTTTCAACGTCATTAACTCCTTCGTATCATTACCTCGACAAAGTTGACTGCTTGTCCTCGGGTTTGGTGGCGTGCCCGTTCATCCACGGCCTCGCGGTACCGTTCATGCCTGCAACAATAACAAACAGATGAAGATGGTACCAAAAAAATATATTGTGGACTAATTTGAATCATTTTAATGACAGAAACCGTTCAGTGAAGTAGTCATTTTGGCCGTAATTGTTTTTAAGATGGTGTTTTAAATGAAATTAAGTTTAAGGTGTTTCAATCGTAACTAAATATTCTACGGTAGCCTAGCAACTTGGAAATCGAAAGTACTTACTATAAGGTGGCAAGGTATCTCTTAAAATTAAAAACATGGGAGGTTTATTAAACCGTATTTCGTGTACATTTTAAGTGAGATTGTCCACGTTTAAAAAAACGTCATCAACGTTTTGAAGGGATGTCTAGATGAATTTTCTTTGCCTTTTTACAGTTCTGATGATCATTTTAAGATCATTAAAAAAATTAAAGTAGTAGATTGGCTAAATATGAATAATTTTAATAAGTTTCAGGACACACTTGAGGTAACGATGCTGAAAAACTCTGGTAGCTTATTAAAATCATTATCTTTTTTTCTTTAGGAATATCGTAGATGGTAAAACGCTAACCACAATAATTTGTCTAATCATCCCCACCAACAATTTAATGACGTGATCTCAAAACTTTGCGCAGTAAATGCCCTTTAAATTTGATAAAATAACATACTTCCGTCCTCATAGTTCTATCCCTGAGATTTATGAATCCGGCTTGAGTTTTCACACTACACAATCAAATTTCCCCCCCAAAAAATACAAAATATTTATACAATAATATTTTATAATAGTGTAAGAGTAATACAACTGTAACGGTGGTGATAACGTTGTACTAATAACGAAATCTCCAGTTGGATTTTCTCGTGGGCCTTTCTTCACTGAGATTATACCTAAATTTTTACTTTCTGAGTTAAGTATCGTAATAAAATCCATCTGGCGAATCGCTACTTTCATGTTTTGTCGACTTTCATGACGCCTAGGGTATAAAAAAGCAGGTCTCGCGTTTCTGTTTGTCTGTTATCTGTCTGGTGCCTGTCTGTTTGTTGTCTGTGTCAATTTTTGTTACACAAATATTCTTCGAAAGTATACAGGAACGATTGTTCAAGGGTGAGGAAAGTTTTGTCTAAATGACCGAAGACATTTTTTTTAACTTCCCGAGCGTAACCTAAAGAACTATTGTAATCGAGTTCATCGGGCGACTGGCTACTTTCATATTTTCTCGAAGTGTCATCATGACCCTTAGGGTACGAAAATATAGCTCTCCCGCTTCTCTCTGGCTGTCTGACCGTTCGGCGTCTGTCAAGATTTTTCTCAGATAAACTCCGAAACATCGAAACCGATTATTGTCAAACTTTATGTGTATTATGAATATCATATAGTAGATGGTAAAACGCTAACCAAAATTTATCTAATCATCCCTACCAACAATGTGATGACGTCACCTTAAAATTGTACATAGTAAATGGATTTGAAATTGTATAAGATATACAGTCGTCGAAGTGTAGTTCGTGAATCCGTGTTGAGTTTTTACCCGAGACATCTCAAAATTTTAACAAATTCTATCGAAAAATATGCAAAATATGATAACATCATTGCATTCATATTTTTTACAATTTCTTATACAGCATGATTCCAAAAATGAATGAATGATTGAATTTCTTTCATTGATTAAATCAGGAACTACAAAACCGAATGCTTTGCAATCTTACAGACGTTTTAAGCGAACCCTTAAATGTCAATATAACAACTGGTGTTATGTTACTAGACAGAACTTACCTCGATCCTGAAGCATAAATCGAGCAAATGTAGATAATACGGAGAGAGCAATACAAACGTGATTAAAGACAACAATCGATTTTTGAAAGTTCGTCTTTGATCGTTGCATTTTCAAATGAAATTTTCAAATTAACGGTAATCTTAATCTGACAAGACGAAAATTCTATCAAAAAACAAATTTTCAAATATTCATGGGTAACTTTAATGGCGTTATTTATTACTATCTCGGTAGTTATCAGAGTATAAGAAAAAATAATGTAGCCTATCGAACCCGCAATTGGATCCGAATCGTAGTCTTTATATCATTAGCATAAGGTTCTAACCAACTGAACTAATACGAACGATTCGTCTTATACAGGGTTTCTATAAATGATTATAGGGTCGCAGTAGGTCATGTAAACGTGCCGCCTCTCAGATTTAACTGTACGGAGATCCGTACTAAGTGCCCAAGGACGCGTGACAAAGATCACACATGGACCACACACATGTGTATAACTGGTTGCTTAAACGCTCCTTATGTTTTTAAAAAATAAAACTAATTCGTGACGATAAAAAGAAATAAATTTATTGCGGTTAAACATGACAGTAAATGTAAATGTTTATCATTCTGTTCAAGGTACATTTTCACTCTATTTTTAATTTCAAAAATGTTCTGTAACATCCTTCCGTCAATACTTTGGACCCGTTGTTCAATTGTTCAATTTTGCTCAAGTCGTCTCAAGTCATTAACAATTTCCCCAGATACTTAAAATCATCCACGAGAGTTCTTTTTGTTGACACTGCCAGTTCGACCAAATCTGTTGATTACATCTCTAATGTGGGCCTTTAACGGTGTTTCCTGAATTATTAAATCACGGTATTTGGCCAGATATTCTTGCTTACAAGCGGTTACAGAATACACAGATTCTTCGTTTACGAAGTCTGATTGCGACAACAAGACATAACAATGAAAGTGTCTTGTTCAACAGATTAAACCGTTTTCAGTCTTCGCTTCCTAGCGTAAAACCAAAATTTTCGTACGCAACCACCAAGAGTTTTAAAAATGATTGTTTTGTTGTTTTGAGCTTGGATCAACGAGAATTACTGTTAATTCGCACTTGAAAAACATTAAAAGAATAAAAACGACCACTTTAAATGACAGGTTACAAATGACATTAGACATTAATGTGACAAGCGAGAACTGTCATAATGATGCATAACCACGGACATAATTTCAGCGAAGCGGGGTTTTTGAAATCCATGGCCAACTGCGTCCTTAGAATCATTTATAAAAGCCCTATATTAGTATAATAAAAGCTGTTACACAATTTGAATTTTTTGGGAAAATTTAGGTGTCCGGGGTAAAAAAAATCAAGACCTATTGATAGACCACGAGTATAGGAGTCTATTTATTTGATAAAAATTTAAATATCAGTGTGATAAACTTCATGTAAGGCAGAAGGTATACTATAAAATTAAGTAATTTACAAATTTAATAATTCTCGACTAGTATTTACGACCTATAATCGCAATTCAATTTACTCTGACCTTGTGAATTGCAAATATCCGTCGTCTAGAACTTCGTGATGTCTTCTTAATTAATAAACAATGAAGAACCTATTGTTTCTGACATCTCACCTTTTCAGAACCTTTAATGGACATCATTGCGCAGGCGTATTAAACATTGTTGTTATCACTAAATAAATTACATATCGTGCGCGGCAAACTACTCCATCTATGGTAGCGGTACGCTAAGATCACTCTATATTTCATATTATACCGTCCAGTGTGCGCTAACCTTAATACATTTATGCAGGATGATCATAGACCATGTTAACTTCATCCAACTTCATCTCACTATTACATTATTCCCTCTTTCGCCAGGCCTCCGAGTACCGTTCGCGCTCCCAACAATAACAAACAGCTGAAGATGCGCAAGAAAAAAAAATCGCAGCCTCGACTAATTTGAATTATCTTAATGGCGGAAACCGTTCAGTGTGCTCAGAATAAAGAAAAGTCAGTGAAACAGTTATCTCAGCTATAATTGTATTCAAATTTGAGCTCGCGAACTGAAATAACGTATGCATGGGAATGCATTTCTAACCGTTTTACTTTCACTTCGTGATTAAACCTACCGGAGGATGGTATTGTGCGAAGTTTGCGGCCGAGTGTCATTATTTACGCGATGATATGAAACGCAAATTACAGACATCGCATCGGAATTGGCCGTAATGGCGATAATTATTCTGTAAACGTGGCGATTAGAGGGTCACACCGCCAAATACATGAAGGAAGTTACAGTTTCGAGATCACGAGCTTCGATTGCGTAGCCATATATAGGGCGCTAATTAAGAGGATAATCATTGCATCACACCCTAGGATTACCTAATCTAATAGTGTATGTATTCTGTGCCGATTACTGCTATTAGGACGCGGGCAGGATTAGGAAACCACCCACGTATTGCTATCTACATGTGCGTAAGTTATTATAATCGAAATGTGGCTAAGCATATACAAAAATGGGTTGATACCAAATTTGGAAGGTCATGTAAAGTTTTGTATTTAAAAAAAATTTTTTTTCATTCGAATGAGTGAAAAATATGTATAACGTTGTTCGTAACGTTGTAACGTAATTTTTTTGCTATGAACACAACTAGTTTAGATATAATAACAGTTTACCTCGTTTAAGGATGGTAATTTAAATTACAACAACAATAGACCGCTTGAACAATTAATTATAATTAGGTCCTGAGTTAATGAAGCGTTACGTTATAAAAAATTTATGGATTATTAAATCAGAATTCAAATCACGTTGACGATTATGTTATAACGTATTTGAAATAATATGGTTTATTAAATAAGTTTCTGAAATGATATAACCAACTTTTTGGTGGGAACAAATACATCAATTCTAATATACATATGATCATATGATATGATTGTATATTAAGTTACCTTTGAGTTTTTCCTCCCTGTTGTAATTTTGATCTAATTTTCTTAGGCTCATTCAATGTTTGCTGTCTGATAGGTAGGCAAGCAATAATTCATATCGAATGACAGATTGCTACCTACCTCAGAGAAGCAGCAAATTACTATTAAAATACAGTGACAGTTAATTTGATGTACGATTTTTTAAATCAGCCTGTATAAAATTAGATCTAAACCACTATGTGTCCAGAATTTCAGGGCAAACCGATAAAACATATTTGTTCACGTATTAATTGTTCTAAGATATCTTTTGTACGTAATTTCAGCAAAAAAAATGCTTGAAGATTGTTTC